CCTCCTTGTGGGGGAGTTGGGCGGTGATATAAATTTGATATATAAATAAATAATATATTATGACTGTGGTAAAATATTGATGAAGTACCACATGCAATATTTTTCAACAGTAATGGCTTGGATGAAAAGATAAAGAAAATGCTTTTCAAATTTGTATATGAGATAAAAATGGGTGAGATATCTAATCTTTTAAAAGACAAAAGTAAGATCTAAAATGATCATTACAAGTTAGAGAAACAGGCTGAAAATAACAGTGCATTTTAACGAGAAAAATGCAAAGGTATTCTCTTAGGAAACAAATCAAGTGTACAGATAGAGGACAGGCAGGGGGTAACTGGCTTGGAAAAAGTACGTGCAAAACTGTCTAGGAATTGTAGTTCACGAGGTGGATATGGAACAGCAGTGAGATGTGGCTATAGCAACAGAAATATAATTCCCAAGGAGCAAGGAGTTATAACTTCACTGAATTCTGTAATTATTAAATCCCATCATGTATTGTGTCCAGTCCTAGGCTTTAAGAAGGTTTCAGAAAAACTGGAACATATGCAAAAAAGGGAGAGGAGAGTTTGAAGGTTGTTAAGTTTAAGCTATAAGCCATGATGGCTGATGAGGGCTACTATGGCCCTCTTCAGGGTACCTGAATGAATGCCTTGTCGAAAAGGGGATTGTCCCAGAGTCCAGACCATGGAATAATGGTTGAATGTTAGATAAAAGTTTCCAATGGTAAAAGCACTTTGACTGGAACAAATTACATGGGGAAGTAATAGAGTCTCCTTCACTGGGTGGATCCAACAGAGATCGGTCAGTTATCTGCTGGAGGTGCTTTAATTTGGATTCCTGCATGAAACAAGTATTTAACTGGTTGTCCTAAGGAGCCCCTTCTAATTCCATTGGAAATTCAGTTTCTGTGATCTGAAGCAACAATGACTGTCTGTATTCTACCTGCTGCAAGAGAGCAGAAAAGTCAGAGTCAGAAAAGGGTCAGAGAACAAAAGACGTGATAAATCACACATTAATTTCATAATCATTTTCGTCAAGACTTAATTTTTCTTTAATTACAAACTAGAAGGAGATGAAAACTGGGCAACAGTACTGCTTTAGTGCCTCTGATGAAGACGCTTAAATAGTAGAAACTGAATCAATTTAATACACAAGAAAGACATCCAATCTCACAACAGTTGAACATTTCGGCTTTTGGCACCTATGTGTATTTTTAATGCATTATTGCAATCCAGTCACTGATTTCCAGGAAGCCCAGAAAATGCTTAGCTCTGAAGGCTAATGGGAAGGGGAGCGAGGAAAAGCTGTGTACTTCCACTTAGTCTATTTTTCTGAAATGGAGCTTGATGGATGCTAGGACTCCTCAAGCAAAGTGTTAACAAAAATATAGTATGGGGTTTTGCTTGAAAAAGGAGGAGGAGCAGGTGGGGAGGAGAAGGAGTGAGGGAAGAAAGCTTTTTCAAGAGAATGTTTACTACGACCCTACAACGCAGCACTGAAATTTGGTCTGGGATTTCAGGCAGGAGCTCTTTCACCTTGTTATTAGAGGTTAAAATTAAAAAGTAAATGTATTAAATTTACATGCCGCCCGACTCCCAGTGACTCTGGCCGGTTTACAGATGATTTAAAACATGAAAAACAAGACAATAAAAACAAGAAGTAACAAAAGAAGGGCAGAGCTGGCAGAATAAGGAACTGGGTGGAAGCAAAAGAAAACAACCTAGTTAAACGGAGGCTTCGCCCAAAGGCCTGGGTGAAGAGCCAGGTCTTCTGGCCCCCTTGAATCACCAGGAGGGTGGGGACCATTCGGATCTTCAGAGGAACCTCGTTCCAGAGGGCAGGCGCTGCAACAGTGAAGTCCACTTCCAGGGTCCCGACAGGTGGCATTGTTTAATTGAAGGAACCCAGAGCGCGCCAACCCTGCC